AGACAGACAGGCCCTCGGCACGCACACTCCTGGGACACACAGACAGACAGGCCCTCGGCACGCACACTCCTGGGACACACAGACAGACAGAGCAGCAGACACCTCACAGACAAACATAAAGGTGGGATGGCAAACACTTTAGAAGCAGCAAAAATTTACAAAAAATCTTAGATGCCCTCCAGAACTGGGAAAGTATCTTGCAAATTAAATGTAATATTCACAAGTAAAGAGCATTGCTTGCAGGTAGTTATACCTGCATAGCAAATACAAACTAAGTGGCACAGATTGAGAAAGTAGCTTTTCACATCAATGTAAGCTATGTTAAAATGATATAACACAGTGCATTAAAGATCACAAACAGGAGGCACTTGTTTGTACGAGCCTGAAAGAAATTGCCCATCGTATTGTTGTACATGATACCCTGGAGTCTTATAATACAGCATAGACAAGCATCATTGCCAAGTCATTAAATCATTTTTCAAAAACTTCATAGGCCATGAAATCCTTAGTTTAATTCTAAGAGTATTCCCAAAAACGTTTGAACATCTTAACGCTTGGCTGTATTTTTCCATTTTTAAGAACTTAGCCATCTTCAGCTTTAGTTTTTCAGCCGTGTTCACCCATTCATGAGCAGCTGCCCTGACAGCCTGCACACACGGAGTGTTACACTGAATACTGGGGCAACCAAAGGCTCCACAATTCACGCCACCCCAAACCCTTCAAAATTAAATTATTAACCTATCATTATCGATGTATTCATTGAGTTCAACCAAGATAGCAATAACCACTAAAAAACAGCTAATTTTAAAACAAAACGCACAGCTGTCACTATGGATACAGATGGAATGTATATATCTCGTCCTCTCCTGGCTTACAACTATACACACACCGAGAATAATTAATGAAACAAAGCCACTGTTCTGTTAGTTATTGGTCATCATTTATTGCAAACTAGCACACTCTAATACTAAAACATACAAAATAAATGTTAATAGGCATGTCAATCAGATAAACTAGAGAATACGAGCAGTAACTTGCTGTCCTACGGAGGAGGTCTGAAGCGTAATCGCATCCCGCATATATCTGTGCCCAAAACCGGGACATCCAGCACGGAGCACAGCAAAATAATTCGGAGCTCAGTGACACTGATACATCAACCACAACGGTAGCACAGTTACAGAAACTCTGTTTGTTAAAAAAATAAATAATTTACACTTTATACACACCGCGAACAGGCTGCAGGCAGGAGTCTAATAACAAAAGCAGAATTATTCCCCGCACATTCATGTTGTAACGTTCTTTTCCTACTCCTTGCAACTGATAATCTGTAGCCATAATGGAGCTTAAAAAACTACTTCCTGCTTCCTTTCTCACTCTACCGCATCGTGGAGGAGATTTAAAGGGACAGATACACTGGGACAGTGAGGGAGGGTTAATGGGACAGACACACTGGGACAGTGAGGGACGATTGAAAGGACAGATATATCGGGGACAACGGGACAGGGAGGCAGGATTGAAGGGACAGACACACTGGGGACAGTGAGGGAGGGTTGAAGGGACAGACACACTGGGACAGTGAGGGAGGATTGAAGGGACAGACACGCTGGGGACAGTGATGGAGGATTGAAGGGACAGACACACTGGGGACATGGAGACAGTGCAGGAGGACTGAAGGGACAGACACACTGGGACAGTGAGGGAGGATTGAAGGGACAGACACACCAGGGACAGTGAGGGAGGATTGAAGGGACAGACACACTGGGGACATGGGGACAGTGAGGGAGGATTGAAGGGACAGACACACTGGGGACAGTGAGGGAGGATTGAAGGGACAGACACACTTGGGACATGGGGACAGTGAGAGAGGACTGAAGGGACAGACACACTGGGGACAATGAGATAGGATCGAAGGGAAAGACACACTGGGAACATGGGGACAGTGAGGAAGATTGAAGGGATGGACACACCAGGGACAGTGAGGGAGGGTTGAAGGGACCAAAACGTTTACATTTACAAAACACTGTAAAAAGATTAAGTGTACTGCATGAAATCTTTTAGTTATCTTTTTAAAAGAAATAAAATACCACAGATGGCTCACTTGGAGTGCCTCCACTTGACCCCATACAGATTTTGTTAGATTGAGTGTTAAGATTTTAAGATTGAGTATTAAAACCGAGAATGTCATGGGTATTCAGAGGAAAATGGAGAACAAAATGTACAAGATTTTAGATTCAATGTTTTTCTTGTTTTTTTACCTAATGGACAAAACTATGTTTACAGTGCCTCTTATGGGTTACAAGTGATATAATTAAAAAATATTAAAATATTATACCATAACTGCAGTAACCTGTTCACTGCTGTCAGAAGCATTTCATTTTTTCAAGTAAGCGAACAATATTGTATAAGGGAAATATATTTTCTTTTAGCTTCAATTACCATTGCAATAATCTACTGCAGGTCCCCAGAACCAAACTGTGTACTGTGGGATACCATGTTTCTCCGCCTGAACTCCTCACTTGTGAAACAGCCTCTCCGACCACCTCAGACAAGCAGTTTCAACCAAGACCTTTAAAAAATCTTTAAACACTTTCTCTACCAGCAAACCTATCAACTTCCAAGCCTATCAACTGTGTCTGATTTTCCTATCTTTTTCCTTCTTAGTAATTTTTAAGTTTCCTGACTTCTCTTTCAGCTTTTTATGTGAAGCACATTGGGATTCACTGTAATGAAATGTGATACATAAATAAATAGTGTACACTATATTATTATTATTATTATTATTATTGAACTCAATCATTTTTGCTGCTTATGTTGAAATGAAGTTTAATCAAAACAACGGCACAGTTTCAAGCAAAACTTTGACCTGTCGAACTGTGAAACACCTCACTACTGGGTGTAGCTCACCAATTTCAATTGAATGAGAACGAGAGACTCCTCTGGCAAAGTGAACCATGCGACTGAATCAAGATTTGAGTTTGGACATGTGCAGCTTGTCACTCTTTAGGTCAAAGTCTACATTTAATCTGGGCTAAAGTGAACAATCCTGGGAATGTTTTTATCTGTCCTTACTGCTGAGGTTCTCCATGGAAAGCCAAAAGAAGCGCATACTGCTGGTGGACAGGACTGCAGTAAAGAAACATCTACAACTATTTCAGTAGTTTTTCTTTTTTGACTTAAAATCTATGTAGAAACAGTGGGTGGTTTTCATGTTCGTTATCGCCAATATCACAACAGGGCAGTGTTTGATTAATCGTCTATCAAAGCAAATTAGTTTTTTTTGTCAAGGGACTGATATTCTGTTTGATAATAATTTGCAGGCCAAACGATGACCATTATTTAATACATTAATTAATCAACTAATTAATAATTATTAATTATTCATAATAAATTAACACAACATTTAGAGTTAACTGAACATCTCCTTTCTTGTCACCTTTCTCTTTAAGAGTTCCAGCTCATCTCATTTGCTCTTCAAGTCGCTTCAATCCGGATCGCTTTTCTCACTTCAGACTGGAGTTTCACTTTCGTTTCCCGAAAAGCTCTTCATCGCTGGACATGGATGAGGGTAGCTGTGAGCTCGTTCCTGGGAAGATCCTAAACTGCTCCATCTGCTTGGATATTCTGAAGGAGCCAGTTACTCTCCCCTGTGGACACAGCTTCTGCCGAGACTGTGTCCAGAGCTTCTGGACGGAGACCGAGCAGCCTGGCCCGGTAAGCTGCCCTCAGTGCCGACAGGCCTTCTCCCACCAGCCTGCGCTCCGCACAAACACCATACTGGCCGAAGTGGCCAAGAGGTTCCAGAAGTCAGACATTGCTGAAGGCAAGACTCCTCTCGGAGCCAGTCCCAGGGAGGTGCCTTGTGATTTCTGTACAGACAGCGCCCAGAAAGCAGTGAAGTCCTGCCTGATGTGCTTGGCCTCATTCTGTGAGACTCACATCCAGGCCCACCATGAGAAGACAGCCTTGAAGAAGCACAAACTCATCTCGCCCATAGAAGATTTCCAGGACCAGCTGTGCTCCCATCACGAGAGGCCCCTAGAGCTGTTCTGCAGAGAAGACAAGACGTGTATTTGTGTGCTGTGTGCCAGAGAGCAACACGCGACACATTGCACAGTGACTTTAGAGACCGAGAGGCAAAAGAAACAGGTAAATGCTGATTCTTCCAAAGTCACCGATAGAGTAACCATAGTAAAATGTGCCTGTATTTGCAATACTAAACCTAATTTGGAATAACTTCAGTTTCACTTTTTACTACAGTTGCAGTATTCTGACATTTCTCACTTACTGTATTTGGCACCATGAAATGCAATAGTTGGTACAGATAGTTGGTATATTTTCTTGCCTGTGTCCTCACAAAGTTGATCCAGATTATCGCTACACCTGGCAGACATAGTAAAGGTGACACAATGACTAGCAGAGTGGGATCTACTTTGTTATCCACATCCTTGAAACAAACAGCTATAAAACTGTAATGTGGAAGGACTTCCAGTATTTGAGTTTATTGTCTGAGGATTACTGTCCTCATGAAAGCCATCTAACTAGTGAAGTTAGTTAATATGCGTGATTGTATTTGGTCAGAACAAACTCCGCTGAAGCCAGGCAGAATGCATCCCTGCTCTGTACACCTGGGCTCCATCGTGCTCAATTTGTACGCATGTCTGCTTCAGTCTGGGGATATCCCTGGCAGGGTCACAGTGCCTGTTTCTTTAAATTATTGTCTTCAGAAACCGGTAGAAATTTGCTAGATGAAGCTTTGAGTAAAAAACTCTACAGATCTCTTCAGAAAATCAGTTTTCCTCAGTCGACATGTTGATTTTGTTGTGGGATATGAACAACAGCACTTCACAAGAGCCCACACTGTCAGGATAAGAGATTTGCTATGGGATTTGTTAAGACTCGATGCAGACACATCTGTTTTTTATGTTCAGTTCTGTACTTCAGTTCTTCAGGGTTTTAAAGTAAGAAGTTCTGCCTTTAAATCGCCTGTTTGCTTTTTAGTTGTTATACTGTGTATCTAAGTTGATAGCAAGAATATCTTCTGGGAGAATATTACTACATCACATTGCTGATTAAATAAATATTCAAAATATCCAACTGTTGCCCCAGATGATATCAGTCATTACACACAGCCCTTTCGAGGAAATATATAACTATGACTGCCTTCAACAGATGTTCTCTCAAGATGTTCTCTCACTGTGTCAGTAAATTAAGAATGAGCAACACTTGGCACACAAACCTTTAGTGCATCTTTATGTTGCTTCTAAACATTTAGCCTGTCAGGTATAAGGTTTGTTTTTTTTATTACAACAAAATCAGGGGTTCTCAGATGATGGACTGACCTGAAGCTTCAAATACAGAATTTTCCAATTTGAGTTCACTCCAGTGTCCTGCAGGAAAACATACAGCTTTGTTTTACAGAAGCAGCTGGTGGAGAAACAGGCAGGCATACAGCACAAACTTCAGGAAAAGACGAGAAATGCGAAGGAGTTAAAGCAGGTTGCTGAGTCCCTCAAGGTGAATGGAAACAAAATACCTTGTTCTCTTGTTTCTCCAGCCGACTAGCAGATCAGATCGATGTGCTTTTCCTTATCTTGTTAAGGACAGTGACTTTAATATTTTTCACACTATATTAACACAGATTTGCAGTGTTGTTTGATATTTGTCAGCTTCACTTGAAGTCTACAGTATGTGCAAGCCTGTGAAGTAGAACTTGAATGCTATACAATTTATACATAATAACCAATAAGCAGTAAGAAAGCAAAGCTATTTAGCATGCCATGAAAACATCCCCAGAGGAAAACAATGAGCTGTGAATTTCTTTTAGTATTTCTGTTATACTTAAATACAGTAATCACTTTCTGTTGACTGTTAGCAGCCCAAAGCCTCTTTGAAACATGTCAAAATGTGCCATTACATTTCATATTGCAGCCTGTGAAAGATTTGACCTATTAGCTGGAAACAATTTACATTTCATGAGACCTAAATGGCAGATCTAGTTTTTTTAAAGTTATTTTTTTTATTGTATAAGCTCTTGCAGAATTGTGTTGTGAGATAGCAATGTTTCCCCACTCTGTTAACTGTAGATATCAGAAGATATCGGAACTGAGGGAAATTGAGCAAATCTTTGTTCAGCTGATGAGCTCTGTTAACAGCAAACAGGCCAAGGTTAAGGAACTCATCAGAGAAAAATGTACAGCTTTCGCCAGCATGACGGAAAAAATCTTAATCAAACTGGACCTAGAAGTCACAGATCTGAAGAAAATGAATACAGAGCTGGAAAACCTTTCAAAGACTGATGACAACATCGGTTTTGTACAGGTAACACAGAGAACAAAGATGTTCAGAGGAAGAGCTTCTCCAAGTTGTTCTTTTAGATACATGTACTAATCATTGGTCACACTAATTAACCAGCTTTTGGAATGAAATATTGTTTAAATGGCCAAATTCTTTCTTGTCTGATATGCTACAGATCACAGCTGGGTATTTAAAATCCAGTTTTATCCAATCACTTGATAAATATGTCTCGGACATGTCAGTCAGACACAATGGCATAGTAAACTCAAGCGACTCCACAGTCAAGCAAAGCAGCGGATATACGGATTATATAAGTTTTGTTATCTTCTGTGAACTTTAGTAATTTGGTAAGAGACTGGGGCATTAGCTCACTGATATAAATTAGGAACATCAATGGTCCTAGTACAGATCCCTGTGCTATTCTACTTAATACATCACCCCGGTCATTCACCCTTATCTGTACTCTCTGTATCACCCCAGTCAGAGCATTCACCCTTATCTGTACTGTTTTATATTTGTTATACAGCTTTTAGTCTAAACTTAAATGCCTACAGGCTGCAATTTGAGAATCAATCTTCAATAAGAAATTCATCACGTCCCCTGTAATGATGTCACATGCTTTAAATTTTATACATTACTTATGTTTCTTGTTCAAAGAGTAACAAACCTACTTTAAAAATGTTTTGTTAAAGATTTTGTGTTTGGAAGTATCATCTCAAACCATTACATTTCATTTACTGTAGATTTGATAGCAAGCACACCTTGCTACCTTCAGGATGTGCTCGACATATGTTTTTTATACAATTTTGACATCATTACATAGAGATAAAGGGAAAAAGAGATGATACAGTATATAAAATATTGATAGTTTCTCATATCAAAATGAACCTGACATGCTGTAAACCATATATATCCTGCTTTTCTTCACTGCTGTGATCCTTGAGTGACAATGACCAGAATCCAAAATGCTGACTTGTCTGATGCTGAGCCTTTTCCAAAGGATTGTGTCAAATGTATCAGCTCGACAGGTAGATTTTCCACCCCATTGTGATGCATCTTATTTCTGCACTGAGACCCACTGTCCCATGCTGTAGAGTTTCCAGTCCCTGTGTGACACGCTTGAGGCCTGGGAGCCTCTGAGTGTCTCTGTCCTCTCCGGCAGCTCCTTCAATCCTGTGAGAGAGGTTTTGCTGAAACTGCAGGAGCTGGCTGAGGGCATCTTCACTGCAGAGCTGCAGAACATCATCACCGCCGGTTGGTGCAAAATACTTTCCTCTACAAACCAGAGAAAATTCATTTGATTTGGAATAAAATTAAAAGGGTACAGAGCTCTGTAGCTCCTTCACATGCTGCTTGTGTCTCAGAATTTGTTTTACTGAAGCCGGTTTCCCTTTACTAAACCCTTACTATGTAAGCCATTGTCTGTGACATTTTGTAAAGCAAGATGAATTGAATAAGAATTACTGTAATAAAAAACAAAAACTTCACAGGACAACATCAAACGATTTATATGCGACAAATCAGTCAGGAATCAGTCTTCATGTAATACAGAAGTTGATAATTATCGCCCCAGAGTGATCCTAAACAGTATCTAGTAATGTATCATCAGAGCAGTACAATTACATGTCTGATGTGCACAGACTTCACTGGTGCTCCTACATGAGGAATTTTGTTGAAAAATCTGGTAATTATTCAAGGTTCATATACAAAACAATCTGTCAAAAGGTGAAAAACCTGGTAACTTTTAGACTCCATCAAATTTGCCTTTAATTCTGAAAAACGTGGAAACTGGTGATGAATAAATTGTTTGTGCTCTTTCCTTTGCAGTCAACATGATCCCGATGCCCAGCCTGCCAGATCCCACACCGACGAAACGCGCTGACTTCTGTAAATGTAAGAGGCTCTGTGCTATAAACCATCCCCCTCTACTCACGCTGTGTTAGGACACACACAGCCTGCTGGTGCTCTCCAGCTGCAGAGCGTGAAGGGATTTACCTTAGAATACTAATGCCCTCCTTTACAGAGAAAGACCATCTTACCATTAATAAGCAGATATTCCATTTTTTTCATTCACTGTGCCACATGGGAAGGCTCTCATCACCTCATCCGAAGAACATGAGTTCCAGGATGAGGAGAAATAGTTCCAGACTGTAAGGGCTATATAGTTCACCTTCATAAACACTGTGGAACATAGAATCAGTTACTGCAGAACAACAAACCAACATACTGTATGACACTTGGACACAAATGGTTGGAAAAGGTTAGATTAGTATTCCAGATGTGTCAACCATAGCAGATGTGTTATTCAACTTCATTGTGCTCTTACTGTGTATATTGATGTACAAGCCAACAATAGGACAAGAGGCTTCTCAAAACTGAGGAATGAGTAGCCAACATATAATGAACACTTACACAACGTTATACATGAGTAAAAAGGATCCTTAGGCAACACAGCTATGGAGAAACCCCATGAAAATAGCAACACCACCTACAGTACATTTCTCTAGGAAAGAGTCACAAAGAAAAAAGTCCATATTGATTGTGGTGTGTAAATTTCTATATTAATATGCAAGTAACAGTGACTAGTGCAGTTATTCTTATTAATAGTAGTAATAGTTTGGCTAACATTATTCAAGGTATTCCATACTAAATTATTACCATTAATTCATTTTGCAGAATTACAGTGATTTCACTTACAGCTGAGCTTTGGACTACATTATGCTACTAAAATGACAAAACTGTGCTTTTTCAGTACATAAGATAATGTGATTCTCAAAGGCTAGAATAATTCTCCTAAGTAATGATGTTGCAGGGACTGAGGTCTGCAGCCTAATGGACCAGTACTCTAGCGAAGAAGCAAACTGGGCCTGGCAGATTTAAAAATAATAATTGACTCTTTTAATGTGTTCTGGAAATAATACAGTGTCAGTCAGTCTTCATTCAAGGTTAACTTTGTATAACTGATGATCTCAAACTCAGATACTCCCCCTTTCCATTATGTCTCTCTCAATATTCCAGGTACTTTGCTTTGCTGAAAGACCTTTCATATGACTTCTAACTGATTCCATTCAGTTATCATCCGCTATATTATTTCTATAACCCTGGCTTGACCTTTGCTATGTTACCTGACCAGTTGACCCGTGACGAACACAAGAGGTCATGTTGTTCTAAACTGAACCCTTAATTGTATCAACCCAAAGGTGAGTGCAGTTCTGCAGAACACAGGACTTATTTCTCCCACCCCAGGCTTACATCATACACAATTTAGTGAGGTTTGGATGCGGTTAAAACTAATGAGCAGGAGTAAAAAGTATCTGTGTTTTTTTCACTAGATTTCTACGGTCTTACACTGGACATCAAGACAGCATCCAGCAGACTCACTATATCCGAACTGAACACAAAAGTGGCGTATGAAGACAATGGAGAATCAAAGCAGCTATTTAGCACTGGAGGATTTCATTTTGCAATTCCTAGAGCAGCTGTTTTGGAAAAACCAGCAGCATTTAGCTTTGGTCCACTTTTACCTCAAACTTCTAGCCCATCTGTCTTCGGGCCACTTTCCTCTTCGTCATCAGGAATACAGGCTTCCAATAATTCTACTAGTAATCCCGAGAAATTTGATTCAGTCAATCAGGTTGTTTGTGCGCAGGGTTTGTCTGCAGCTCGCTACTACTGGGAGTGTGAATGGAAAGGAGAGAATATTGGTCTTGGTGTGGTTTATAAAGGGATCAGCAGGAAAGGAACAGACATGTCTTGCGTTCTTGGGTTAAATGAAAAGTCTTGGTGTTTGCAGTGGGATGGCTCTTGTTATGTTGCCTTACACAATGGCAAAAGAGAGGTCATAAAGGCCCCCTATTGCTCTCAGATAGGAGTGTACCTTAACTCTCCTGCAGGCATTCTGTCATTCTACAGACTAGCTGACACACCGATCCTTCTGCACAAATTCAAACACACATTTACAGAGCCTCTGTATCCTGCATTTCACCTGCCTAAGATCAGATCTTCAGTCAAAATATGCCCAGTTATAGTTTCTTGAGTACTGCATAACAAAAATCAAAATACCTTTTGTAACATTTTAGGAGCTGCAAAATAAGTTTTAAAAATTGAGTGATAAATTATGCGATTAAAAGAAATAAAGTGATTTGCATAAAAGTGTTAACTACCAAGTTAAAGACATTATTAATTACACTTTTATAATAAGAACTTAATTTATATCATGAACGATTGATGCAGATTCTGTATGCATGCATAAATGTAATTTGTCACTTTTACTACATTTAATTTAAAAATTAAATTCAAAATGTTTAAGTTTTAATTATTTTAAGAATTAAAACAGCATGATCAGTCGTGGTTCTTGGAGGACTAGGTCTCTGCAGGCTTCTGTTCCATCCTGACAAATCTCAAACTGCTTTCATTGGACCAATTTAACAGCTTCCTCAGGAGCTGCTGTTTTAAAGAGACCAAGATAACCTGCAGACACAATCCAGGTCGGATTGTGGACGTTGTAAAGCTAATGCTAAGAGAAAATGAATGCATAAAATGAATATTGCTGTTACTCTGTCTGAAGATGATATAAAAGTAAAATTGTTGATTGTAAATTAAAAACGTTTCACTGTGGAATTGTTAAAACAATTTAAGAAATCAAATTCAAAATGTTATTCAACCATTTAAAATAGGAGAGCAATCCCTGGGCTTTAGATAAGGTTACAAGTGCAGTTTGTAACTGCAGTTCCAATTTTGACAGTCTAGCTTGGGGCAGTAGTGTGGAGCTCATTAACTCAAGGGAAAATGGAAAGGTTAGGATAGCAGATGGCAAGAATCTAATAATGTTAATGATGTTAAGCATATTTGCCTTATTATCAGTAAATAAAACTCAAATGTGCAGCCAAGCATCTGCCATTATTTTTCCAGCCTCATACAATATGGCTCCACAGTACACACACATACTGTATCTACAGTGCCTTGCAAATGGAAAAGTCAGGGAATAGCAGAGCACTGTTCAGAGGTTATTCCCACGATGGGAAAAATGCAGGCTGTGACAAGATTGCCCTCCCTGCTAGGAAGCCTCACTGTCACCTACAGTGTCTTGGCTGAGCTAGGAAACCCCATGTCTGATTTAACACGCCAAGACAGGCATCGTTGATGATAACTGACAGCGCGAGATATGTATTTTTTTAACAGCAAGATAACAGCAAGCAGGGCAAGAAATGTCAATTCTGACAGCAAGAGGTGGTAGTTTGGATTTTTTTTAAATTTAACCATATATGATTTTGTTCAATTTTTTAATAAAAAGTGAATATATGCTGTATCAAAATACACTACAATATCACTTTCTTAGCTAAATTCTCATTTAATACAGAAACAAGGACTGGCTGCAATATGACTTTAAAATAGTGTCAAAATATTATGCTATCCATCAGCTTTCCTGTTCCTCTGGGAAATAGTTTACAAGACTTTATTCTGGCAGACTAGTTCTATGTAGCTTTCTTGGAAACCATGCTGTTGTACTGGTATAACCCAATCTTAAAGACTTGAAATGACCAATCTGGAACATCAGACAGTCATGAAAATAAATTGCAACTTCAAGGTAGGTTTTGTGGGAATTTCAGTCACATGCAGAGATGCCACATTTATGTCATCAGTCCTGCTGGTATACTTGTTTTGATGAATGAGAAATTTTATTCACATTTGTTTTTTCTTCTGAAACAAAGCCTGCGACAGAGAAACTTGACAGCAGCAAAGGCAGTCAGGAAGGAGATGAAGCTTGCTGCCAGCAAGACCACTAGAACATCCACAGAGTGGTAGATGTACCAGGGCATCCTGTAGGACTCTGTGCGCAGGTGCGCAGCACCTTTGTGTCTCATGACAAACTCAATCCAGAAGAGGGCGCTGTCCAGAGGTTTCATAGGCTGGTCCCTGTGCAGGCGGGAGAGTCTTTGCATGTTTATCCGATAGGATGGCTCATAGAGGACCTCCTGCAAGGCCTGGAGGAAAGTCTTGCTGTCTAAGGTGCTGATATCCAGGATCTTGGCCGCTCCTTTCACTTGTAGACGGAAAAGGTTGTCATGTTGATCAAAAACCAATGGCAGTCCCACTATTGGAATGCCATGATAAATTGCCTCATATACCCCATTGGTTCCTCCGTGCGCTACAAAGACTCTAGTCTTGGGATGTCCCAGGAGATCATTTTGAGGCATCCAAGTGACCAGCATGGTGTTGTTGCCCAGGTATGCAGGCTTTTCACCTTTATGCCTCCAGATGACTTTCTGAGGGAGCCGGGCAAAAGCCAAGGCGATTTCAGCCATTAAGTCGCTTGGAAGGTTATTAATAATGCTCCCTAAGGACATGATAATGACACCGTGCTCTCCAGAGCTCTGCATGAAGTCCTCCATGTCTTGAGGAAGGGCCCTTGCAGGCTGGCACTGGAAGCCACCGATGTAGACAATGTTGGGCATGGTGGGTCTTGGGAATTCGAACACAAAGTCAACCCTCAGAAGCCAGAGATCTGCTGACCGGGTGAGAGTGTAGATGTCAACATCGGGGCCAAAGTAGCGATCACACAGAGCCTTGTAATGTGGATACACCATAAGTCTTCCCTGGAAGCGGCCAAAACCATAAAAAAACATGTTCTGGACCCTTTGAAGGAGATTCATTTGGTCGGTGAACTGTAAGCCCGGGAGTGGAGTGTAGGACAGGGGTGATGGAGCAATATCAAAATGACCTTCCCCACTCAGAGTCCAGCGGACATTTAAAACCAGAGGCAGCTGTAGATAGTGAGCCAACAGTGCTCCACCGCCTACAGCCGGGTCAGCAAGAACCAGGTCGTACTGAGTGTCCCGGAGACTCTGCATTAACTGCTGATTTTCAAACATGAGGCTGACCATTCTGCACACCCTTCCATGAAGATCAGAAAATTCGTGAGCTACTTCTTTATGCAATGTTAACAAAGTCCAGAAAGAGCGGTCTACTCTCTGCATCTCTAATAACCTTTTTAAGAACGAGCTGAAGGAGCTCTCATCGATGCCTCTTGTGTGAGGGACCGTGATAGAGCTGTAGTGAGGAGACGTCTCCGTGATGTACCAAGTGCTTTCTGCACGCAGCACAGTGATGCTGTGCCCCCGGGCGTGCAGCTCCTTGATGAGGATGTTCATGTTGACCCAGTGGCTGCCGTCCAGAGGGAACACCAGAATCCTGCCACCATGGAGACACGGCAGAGAGCAGACCAGGGCCGCCATGATGGTGAGGGCTGAATGTCTGCTCCGCAGAGAACCCCCCTTCATACTGCCTGCAGGACACATTCACAGGAAGAGGGGTACTGAAAAAGCACACTTATATTGTCTGCCAAGCCCTGTCTTAAGCAATCCTAAAGAACGTAACTCTGACTGCATACCTGACAAACGGGATTGAGTAAAAAGGTGTTGTTATGACTTTTGAACAAATCGTTTCATTTTTACTGCCTTTATAATGGCTCAGACTTTTAAATATCTTATAATGGCTTTGAAACCATTTCTGCTATTATTCCAGCTGTTTGATGAGAGGTGTAAGGCCCAATTTCTCTGTGCTTGTGCTGTCTCGTGGTGCAAATGAACATCACCAATGCTGAAAACACAGGCCAAAACAGACTTTAAGACCAACACAGTTTTCAGTGAAGGTGTTATTATGGACACACTCCCAAGAAACTTTGAACTTTTAGTTTAATTTTCACCCATAAAGCTAGATTTCTTCTCTATGCAGAGAACATTCTTATCGTCCTAATACTCCCTATACGTTACGCTGTGTATTTGTTTTAATAGTAAGAATGTTAATAGACGTATCCATTACAATCTCATAAATTAGGATTTTTTGTTTGTTTTAGCTTTGCCGTTTTTCTTGACCGATACAGGTCTGACAGTAAGAAACACTGCGAGACTTAAACGGTGCTGGTAACTGTGAATGGCTATTTTCCCCAGCCTTCACCTTTTTCCTGAATTCCTAGAGGTATTATATAACTCGATGCGTGTATAGCGTTCTAATTTGCGTCTTTTTCTCCATTTTGGTATTCTAAGATTTGTGTTTTATGCTAGAACGACAGAGAATTACACAGTTCGATTTCAACATTTAATGTTTTGATGTTTCATCGCCTACCTTTTCTGAACGGGATGTGTTCTCTTGCTCTCCAAACTTCCTCGTTCGCCCACCCTTGTGCCAGCCTCGCCCTGTGCTCTGTGCTCAGGTGTGCTCCTGAAGCACGTACAGTAGACCACGGCACACCACGGACCTGCGGGGCCTGGGACTGCGGGAGTCCGCTCTGGGGCGGATGAGAGCCAGGAAAGACAGAGGTCCGACGCTAAGCGGAGACGGAGCAGCGGACAGCGGCTACGAAACGGTGCCCCTCTACCTGAGCGGCTCCTTCCCAGAGAGAGGGGCGGAGAGACAGCGCCGTGCAGTCCACAACGGAGTAGGATGAGAGTGGGATCGTGTTGTTCCTGTTATAGTTAACACTATAGCTGCCGTGGGTTTCGAGTCTTAGTGGCCGGTCTTTCGATCTTTTATCATGCGACACAATCACAGTTTTACGCGGTGCGTGTATTTACATTTTGTTGTTAGTGCACGAGTATTTGAACGCGGTTTTATATCCCCCACCCCCCACCACAGAATTTTAAAACACGTTTAATAAGATCACATTATTGGCCATATACAATTTCTTGCATTAGGAAATTGTCTTTTCACAGACCCCATCTTACTTTCCATGAAACACATAAACAGGGAGAGAAGCCTGGGGTCAGAGCGCAGGGTCAGCCATTGTACAGCGCCCCTGGAGCAGTTGGGGTTAAGGGCCTTGCTCAGGGGCCCAACAGAGTAGGATTCCTCTGCCAGCTGTGGGATTTGAACCAGCAACCTTTCAGCCACAGGCGCAGATCCCTAGCTACAGTGCCACCGCTCCACCAATAGAATAGTTATATTGATTGAACATGTTCTTTGTGATTTTGTTTAGGATATATTGCAGGACAAGATAGATTACTTAAAATATTGTAAATAATAGGTGAAAGATAATAAAGACCAACTTCTGAATGTTTGAAAACAGTACCTGTATCTTAGCTCTTTTTGCGAGTGGATATCAAATGAAATGAGAAATCACAGTACCACTTGTTGAAGTTTATTGTATTGGGCTTTGGTCGTCTTTTTTTTTTTGCAGAATGCCGAGACCTCACCATCATCAGTTATACATTTCTAAAATGTATCACTCACACATTCTTCAGTGTTAATTACATTTTCAAACTCCATACCAGTACCTTTCAAAACCAGAAAATAATCTGTCTGCATTGCTTAATCCTAATCTTTTGTTTCAGAAATGTATGGAGACTTTTTGGAGGTCGTTGGTCTTCTCCAACCTTCCCCCCCCCATTTCCTTCTCTTTAACAGAAATCCCTTCTTCAGGAGGTGTCCTGTCTTACTGTAAAAACATTCTATGCCTTGTGGAATGTCACAAGATACAAGAGTTTCTCCAAACAGTGGAAGGGGAAGTCATGCCTGTAGGTTTATTTTTAGTCAGCAGTCACACAGGGGCAGAGGCGGGACTCTGTGCTGGGAAACGGGCTGCAGCCTCAGAACTCCTCCTCGGCCCTCCTGGAGCGCGAGTCCCGCAGCCGGCGCAGCCTGGCCAGGGCCTCCGCGAGGGCCAGCTCTCCGTGCACCTTGTTGTCGCGGGTTCGCACGTTGACCGCACCCGTCGCCTTCTCCTTCTCGCCCACCACTGCCAGGCAGGAGACAGAGATCAGCACACCAGCAGGACGCTCCCGAATACACTACCTGCGTACACAGACTCCACTGGGGCTCTTACCCAGTATGAAGTTGTACTGGGCTAGCTGCGCGTTGCGGATTTTCTTGTTCAGCAGACAGCTGGAGTCCAGGTCGACATCTGCCATGAATCCTGCCTCCACAAACTGCTGGCACACCTGAGGGGAGAATGACTACTTGATAACACAGTTCCACACCTGCACCTCGCCCCAGCCGACCACAACATCGGACTGAGCTACAGAAGCCTGACGGGGTGTAAACAATGAAAAGTGCATCCAAACCAGCAGGTACAGCCCTAAATTGTTCAGAAACCCACAGTTTTTAAGGAAGTGAGACAAATCGCGGTGACAATTTACAGATCCCAGTGAAATTCCCAAAAGCTCAAAAGGAGTTCCATGTAAATTTAGTCCAGCAGTCTTATTATTTCAGCTGCAGTCAGCGGCAGCTCAGGGAGCACCAGGGACACACTGGGGCGATGCAGCAGCAGCGGAGGACTGAAGGAGGAGGAGGAGGGGGAGAGAGAGAGATACTCTGGGATTAGAGAAACATTCTTCCCTAAATTCAGAAATCTAGTCCCAGAGTTCCCACACCTGCCAGAATCACAACGGGTCCCAATCCTACTGGGAGAGGGAGGAGGGAACTCAGTTGAACTGGCAGCCCAGTATGTGATCTCCTGTCACAGCCTGAGGAACAGTGAGTCTGACTCCCAATAATGCTCCAGCCACATACAGTATATGTCAATATTTTATAATATGTCTTTGTTGTAAATGTCTGTAGATTTTACTTTACTTTTATTTTTTGTTTTGTATAATGTAAATATCATGACTTTCATTTGCTTTGGCAACACTGATTGTACCCGTCGGTCATGCTAATAAAGCACCTTGAATTGAATTGAAGAGAGAGAGAGTACCTGCTGGGCGTACGGTTCGCAGGCGGGGTTCACCGGCACCACCATCACCTGCCTGGGGGACAGCCAGAGCGGCCTGCGCAGAGACCAGAGACACACACCGCATGTTCACAGCGTACCGCGTACACACACACACACCCCTGACTGCATTCCTGCATCTTGGGCACACAGATGGCAACACTTAAGGCACGTTAATCTAAGCTCTCCGTGTCTGTAGCTGCGGAAATCCAGCTCCGACTGGCCAGAAGGTGGGCCGTACTCACCACTTGCCAGCGTAGTTCTCCGTGAGAATGGCAATCATCCTCTCCACAGAGCCCAGGATCGCCCGGTGGATGATAACTGGTCTTACTTTGTCGTTGCCCTCCTTACTAAAGGAAAGAGACACCCGTCAGGCACTCGCACCATTCAGCACTCTTATTCAGACTGTACCTGTGGTTTTTATATTCTCAGAAGTGGATTTATGAACATAGTAATATAACTTTTGTAACTGTTATTGAAGAAAATGTGTCATGAGAATTTAATGCTCTTTATAGATATGAATTGAAAGCCCAACTTTGCAATGATCAAAAGCAATAGTAGAAGTAAAAGTTTTGTCTTTTTTGTACAATTAATATTTAACAAATAAATGGTTCCCTGTACTTTTGCCGTTTCTTTCTCTCACAACTCACTAAATAAGCAAGGACATGAGGGAAGAGTCTCTGTTGCCGTGAAAATCATTTGTACAGCAACAGACAGGTACTAAAATAAATGTTTCATCGTAGCAAAAAAATTAATAAATCAACCATTCAAAAATAACGAGGTGGATATAGTTGGATGTTTCCCCCCCCCACGCTCGGATGGTAATCAGTACTTTTGCAAGACTGGAATCAACTGTGTACAGTGTACTATGTGGTGGGGTGAGGATTGTGGCCCACTTGATGCCCACTGGGACCGGATCCATCAGAGCGCTGGAGCCTGCCGCCCTGGCTAGGGAAACTCACTCCACGAAGGTCAGGTTGAAGCGGATCGGCAGCTGGAAGTCCAGTTGGATGGTGGCACACTGGTGATACCTCCCGATGGCATCCTTGATCTTGATGTCAATCTAGGAGACACGAGGCAAAATACAGATGTTGCCCCAACCCCAAATACTGGCAAGTTAATGAAAGTAAAAACAAACATTCCTCCCCCTAGCAGCTTGTGCTAAAGCATCAATACAAAAATCACATAAACATGACTGACATCTGGAAGCAGATGATCATTAACGTCAGCTTTTTCCATGGAGATTATTTTATATACACTTGTAAAAATTATGTGTGATTCTTAAGCCTCATTTAATCCAGTACTTCAGAACTCATAGTTGCAACCATGCATGGTATGGTAAAAAATTAACATTTAAATTGTATTATTTAAGATGGAAATCTTAAATAATACAATTCTTAAATAGCAAGATCAGCTGAAGTCTGATCTCCTGGATGGGTTGCCCGGTTCTCGACAGCGACAGGGAGGGCAGTGCTAAGAGGAGCAGGGCCTGTCCGACAGACAGCTCAGTCAGGCCGAGACTCCTTGGCTTTGGGACTCGGAGAGGGTGACTGTTTCTGAAACACAGCTGAAACCCAGTTCATTCACATTAGGACTTAGTACCAACACGTCTCGTTTGGAACACCTTCCGAGCCATTTGCTTTGTTTTATATTCTTGCTTTCCAGTGCACATTCAGTGCCTTGGAGAGCCGGGCACGTCACAGGATTTACAAAGTCACACGCTGGTTTTCTGGGATGTTAAACCAAGGTCCAGGATCAGGGGAAAATCTAGACCTGATGAGGAAATCTGACCCATATCCTCTACACCTCATCCAGTTACAGTCTGTCTCCCGCTCCTCAGGAAGCGTTAACTGGTTCACATGGAATCCGTAAAGAAAGGTGCCGTATCGGTATGGTTGTATCGGTTTGAAAGTCAGAGTTGACAGATGGATTTGTTTTTCACATTAAATCCCATCAGCTCTCACGGGCGGGCCACTGAAACAATGCAGGTAGATAAAACCAACTGGTGTGAAAAGGTCACCTTGGGCCCATAGAAAGCCCCGTCTCCAGGGTTCAGCTTCCACGGCTCCCCAAACTCATTCAGGCTGTTCTCCAGTTGCTGTCACAGTGGAGAGAGAAACACAGACAAGAGCTCAAATTCTACACTTTACACTGTGAGAAAATAGGTTTCTCGATTCATTCCATTTGTAAATTACAGTTAATTATTTCAGTGGAGTCCAAATTGACAATTTAAACTAGTTAGGAATTTATATAGTCAATTAACAATTATTTTAATTAAGACAGCAAATGACCTGACCACTCCCCTCTCACACCAGGCAGGCTAGAGGATAGCCAGAAAAGTAAAGCATCATGGGATTCCCCAGTACCTGTAAAGCGCTAGGTAAGTGTAAGGATGATTAGTAAAAGGATCTAGCTCTAGATCAAGAAACATTAATCTTAAATAACAAATATAAATGTTTGGATGGCATGTAAAAACACATCCAAGACCTCCGACTATTGAGTGTGTTTGTCAAACAAATCCTTGTTTAGAACAATTCAACATCTCTTATTAGCTCTCATACTTTCTCAGCCTGGTCCCAGATCTGGATGTCTCCCAGGAACTTCTCTGGCCGGGTGGAGAGGTGCAGTTGGAAGGAAAACCCAAAGACGGCGTAGACACAGCGGAGGAACTCCAGACAGCCCTTCATTTCGTTCTCGATCTGCAGAGGCAGAAAGCGGCTCGTTCAGCTCTCTCCTCGAATTAAACGGGGGGGATTGCTGGACCTCTCCTGCCAATCTCACTTTACCACCGAAGTGTTTCGTCCACCCAAACGTGCGTTTTAACTGTCAGCTAACTCCCGCGCCTGTTCAGAAGACAGTGCCTACAGGTTCGGGCAGAACCGAGCGAAGTGCAGTCGCATGTCTCACTGGTACTAGTGCACGCCTGCAGCAGCCTGGCTGCCCGAGCAGCTGAGAGGCCCCTGGCAGTGCTCAGCCAATGGCGTGCCGCCACTTGGGACATCCGGGTCGCCATCAGCCAGTGTCACGACCCAGGATCAGGCTGGCCGTGCCCAAGCCAGGCTGCTAGCAGCCCAGACCCAGGCCCGCCCTCAGTACCTGCTCCATGGCGCAGAAGATGTGGGCATCGTCCTGCTGGAAGCGGCGCACTCTGGTGAGCCCGGTCAGCGCCCCCGACAGCTCGTTCCTGTGCAGGACCCCAAAGTCCGCCAGCCGCAGGGGCAGCTCCCTCCAGGACCGCGGCCTGTGGCTGAACATCAGGCTGCGCAGAGAAGAGCAGGGTCAGGCGGGCGAGCACGCGCCACCTGGCGGCGCCACGCAAACCCCAGACACCGGCCGGCGGGGCCGACAAAACCACACCACCGACCCCATCTGCAGGATAGGGGGCCTGCCGGCTCGGACTTCACTCTTTTCTGCCACGTTTTTATTATGCCCAGTGTTAAACACTTGTACCATCTGTGAAATTAGACTGCACTGCAACATTTCCGCACGATCATTCATATTCACATAACTTTCCTTCGTTCAAACATTCAATCTCTCTCATTCTGCCGAAAGGCACGTGGATGTTTATTATCAAACCTGTGGGCTCTGAAAGGAATTTTCCCATAACTGGCAATTCTGTGCACAGCTTGAGGTCAGAGTCTGAAAGGTGTCAGTGAGGCTACAGACTTGTTTTCCCATTTTGGGCAAAGATGAGATGTGTTCTACTCTACCTCTCTTAGCCAGAAGACATTTGATCTATTGAGCCTGTTCAAAATAAGTGACTAATTACAGTATTTCCAGGACAAGAAAACCATTAATTTTCCTGATCTAAGCAGCTATATAAATGGATTAGATCAAGGCTCCCCAATCCTGTACCCTCGTCTTGTGGTTTTAATTCCAACCAAATACAATTTTATTACAACTGCTTGACTAAACTGAAAACATAATTGGAGACTTAAGATAAGATCACTTTATTAGCCCTATACAATTTCTTGCATTAGGAATCCATCTTTCCGCATACCCCAGCTTGCTCTCCATGAGAGACAGACACACAGATGGAGAAAAGCTTGTGGTCAGAGCGCAGGGTCTGCCATTGTACAGCGCCCCTGGAGCAGCTGGGGTGAAGGGCCTTGCTCAGGGGCCAACGGAGTAGGATTCCTCTGCCGGCTGTGGCATTTGAACCGGCAACCTTCCAGCCACAGGCGCAGCAGCTAGAGTAGATGAATAATTCTGCCATTTTCAACTTAAAACATTTTACTTGAATTAAAAATTCTCAACTGAACGTTTCATTGATTAAATGAAGACTTGAACTGTAGAAAGCTTGAATGAAAACCGTAACACGCAGGAGGGTCCGAGGATCGGTGCTGGGAAACTGACAGGTGAGGGCGTTCACATGCATGACTGTACTTTCCCATTAGGAGGGACACTGGCCCAGACCAGCTGAGCTCCCAGGTACAGTGAGCTTATCCACACCCCTCCATTACCCACCAGTGCCCCGGGCAGTTCATGGGCTTCAGCGCGAAGATGTCCTGCTCCACAGGGAAGGAGAACATGTTGTCGCTGTAGTGCTGCCAGTGGCCTGAC